GCACATACTAATTATGTTTACATACTACATACTAAATGCTCGATTAATTGCCCATACTCAAACAAGCGCCCATCTCTGAATCAAGATTTTCCCTGTGAAGATCTGGGTTAAAATTGGTCTTCTGCAACCCATGCTCGTCCTAAGAGGCGACTAACGGGATCGGATGGTCAGGCTCGCTGACTTGGTTGTCAACTGCGTACATTACTACTCATGATGTCAATCACTGCATTGTCTGGTCCAGACTAATTTTTTGAGGAATCACCATCATATGGCTGGATTAATGAAGAGTACAGAGTTAAACAACAAGCAAATAAATAAACAAAACAAACAAACAAACAAACAAACACTAAGACATAAACAATGCGAGAGGGGAGTAAAAACCCTTGAATAATGGACAAATCAACTATCTTGTGCTACATGTTAGTCACAGTAACAGCAGATTTATTTTTTTATTTATCGTGATTCCTTTGGATTTTGTTCTTCTGATCAAAAGACCATGTTTGTTTGTTGTTTGACGAGACCTCCTCTACGGTCTAGCGGATGGAGCATCTGCCCAGAGGGCGGAGGGTTGGTGCTTCGATCCCTGTCCCAAAAGTCTTAAAAGATGGTACTTGTTGTTACCCTGGTTGGCGCTCAGTATACTGTGTGGGGTGGGGTATCCTTGTTATCTTAGTGAGCTAGCACTATAAAACACTAAAAAAACCCACACGCACACGCACACACACACACACGCACGCACGCACGCACACACACACACACACACACACACACACACACACACAAAGGTGGATGAGTGTAAAAATCGTGAATGTGACGTAAGACCTCAGGCCACCTTCCTGTTTAACGCTACGCTGCAGTATTCCAGATCTATGATGGTGGGGGTGTAAATAATCAAGTCTGGACCAGACGATCCAGTGACTGGTAATACTAGCTTGACCACCTGATCCATTTAGTCTCCATTGTCTGCAATAATCACCAACCCTTCTTTCAGTTGTGAGAATTTAATTTAATATCACGCCGTGAGCCACCCATCCTCTCTACAGTGAATATTGGATCTCTAATAATCGTCAGTTACGTAAGGTGAAATGGACTTTAGCGTTCTAGATTATTGCACTAGCATAGTGACTTGTGTGTGGCTGTTTGTACTAGTCCGGACTAATGCTGATTTTATATGTGCTAGCCCACTGAGGTACCATGCCGCAGTTTACTTATACCCCACTCAGACACAGTGTACTGACTCCAAGCCGACCAGCCCTTGTTTTAGCCCCTTTACCGAGCACCAGGCAGGGTAACAACAAGTAACATATTTTAACATCTTTTGGTATGACGTGGCAGGGCTCTATCCCCTGACCTTCCGCTCTACCATCAGACCATTGCGGTCCCAGTCGTCAATTAATTGAGTATCTACAGTAAGTAATATTCCTTCATTTTTTTCATCTCAAGACCCCAAAATACTTTGTTAACAATTGATCAAACTCATGCTTTGTAACTGTCCACGGGCAAATGGTAACATGTTGATTACAAATAAAAATCTCATATTAATATCAATACTGAGTTCACTTGTGTTGACCCAAATTTTCTTTGAAAAGACCTATGGCCCTTAATTTATGTTCTTTTTTTCTGTCCGAGGCACATTGCATCTCCATCAGTCTCCAGACCCGTGAGGATCAGGGGTAGAACTGACCTTCTGCAACCCATGCTTGTCGTAAGAGGCGACTAATGGGATCGGGTGGTCAGGCTCGCTGACTTGGTTGATGTGTCATCGATCAGAATTACGTGGATTGATGCTCATGATATCAATCACTGGATTGTCTGGTCCAGACGCGATTATTAACAGACCGCCGTCATATAGCTGGAATATTGCTGAGTGCGGCGTAAAACAACAAACAGAACCATGTCTCCAACAACTTCACCTGCAATAAGAACCTGGCACATTTTCAATGGAACCAAACAGAAAAGCATGCAGACCGCAACAAACGAGGTGCACATATTGAAATTGTGCAATGTTCTTATTACTATGCACACTGTATGGGGATTGTGCCGTGTTTGTAATTTGTGTGGCTGTGTCAAGTGTGTACATATTCCATAGTTAGGTTGCTCTCTGCTGGCCTGTAATCAGGCCCCCATGGATTTAGAGAAAAAACATTTGAATTATGGATTGTCAGTCACCAGTGAATGTTTGTTTGTTTGTTGTTAACGCCGCTCTCAGTATTATTCCAGCTGTATTACAAGTCTGTTAATATTCAACCTTGACCAGACAATCCAGTGATTGACATCACGAGCATCGGTCCACGTATTTGGGACATGATATGACATGCATCCTCCAAGTCAGCAAGCCTGACCACCCGAGCCTGTTAGTCACCTCTACCATCAGACCTCCTGAATGAATGGTGTAAGTGACTGAAGGCAGCCTATTGTTCAGATGTCACATGGCACGGAGACATCAGGGCTTCAATTGACCAATCAACATTGACAATTGCAGAAATGCTCCTGTGCAAATATCCGAAGATAAATCCACACAAACTTGTGGGTGCCAATCCCGGTTCACCCCCTTCATGTTTCTGGGTCTGTCGGCACTATAGCCGTTCTTGTCTTTTACCAAAGTGGTAAACATCCAAGACCTGCATCACTTTAGGCTCCTCCCCATCAGGTTTGCATCATAATGATACGAACCTGGCACACTTTCAATGGAGGGGAGATGAAATGGGGCTTAACGTCATCCAAAATATATGTGTGTCTGCATGTACTAGTCCAGACCTATGCAGATCTTACAGTGCAGCCCACTGAGATACCATGCTGCAGTTTAACATAGACACCCCTCTTAGACACAGTATACCGACTCCCAGCCGACCAGTCCTTGTTTCAGCCCCTTTAAGCTAAGTGTCAGGCAGGGAAACAACAAGTACCATCATTTAACGCTTTTGGTATGACGTAGCCTGTGATCGAACCCTGGACGTTACTCCGGGCAGATGCTCTACCACTTGACCATGGTGGCCGTCCATCTTCAATGGAGATCACACTGTTTGGGATTGTGTACTATTTGTAATTTGTGTGGCTATTTCTTTTCAAAGTGTCTGCATGTTCATTAGTTTGGTTGCTCTCTGCAGGTTGTGCTTGGTAGGCCTGTGATTCCATGAGAACAAAGGAAAGCAATATCTTTGAATATTCGTTTATTATGACAATTTGGTGACATTTACACATGTCTACAGTCAACTCAGATTTTCTTTACAAAAACTGTTTACACAATCAAGCACATGACCTGCTCGGACGCACTCTGCATGCTCTCAACCAGCCGCTACACTACAAAAATAACCCTACGTAAGGCAACATTTCTATAAATAGTCATTCATAGCTTCCCTATCTGCATATGAACATAATAAAGCCCCTGCAAGAGCTTAGTCTAAGAGCCCTAACGAAAGAGCATGGTTTAAGAGCCTCTGTAAGTGGTTTAAGAGCCTCTGTAAGGTTATGATGTACATATACTCATGGGAAGAAATAAGGGGACAGCAAAATATGTAGAGAAAGTTAACTGCTGTGTACAACCTATAGCCTTTATGTCAGCAATATGGCTGCCATCTTTGGGAAACTTTACGATGTTGTCAAACATGTGGGTGTTCCTCTACTTCTTTCCATCATCAAACATATGAATGTGTTCCTTTACTTCTTTCCCTCAGTATAGTATGAGAGTTGCACAATAGCATGGCAATGAAACATGAAAATAACAACAATACCCTGTACTCTAGGAGTACAGGTTCGTGAATGATTTCCTTAAAACAGGACTCCACAAAAGGTTGGTATCAGTTCACTGGGCCAACATAATGGTGACTAACCTACCACATGCAGTCAAGTAACTTCTCATCATTAAATTTAAGCCTGAACCAGATGGGTGGCTTCAGGTTAAATGGTGTAATCATGTCTTATACAAAATGGTCCTATCGCTTCATGTCAGGTCAGTCTGCGAGAAAACACAACTACGAAAGATGATTCAAATCTTAGAAGTCCTTAGTCTTATTCGAAATGGCAAGGACTTCTTCGCTCTCCCACGGACAAATTGACATAGAATTTCAACCAACTATCTAACTTTCTGTCATATAAGCATAAATATTTCACAAAAAAATCACTTATGAGGTAGAATTTATTGTAATGCTAATCTTCCTCATCTTTGTGCCCCTTCAAATGAGAAAAGAGACAGATCACCACTCATTCATTTAGATAAGGGACTGGTCATTGCTTTTATTTGGAAAAAAAGTCATTTTCCCTTCTTTCCTCTCCTCCCCCTACATACTTGTGTTAAATTTTGTGACACTCCTCCCTCTGTTTCCCTGTGACATTTTCTATTGACCCCCCCTCCTCCCCTAATCTCACCGGCTCTCCCGCCCCCATAATTAATGACCAGTCCGTAAGTAGCAACTGAATTTGACAAATATTTAAGTTCTCATCAGCTCTGTGGTTGAAGTTGGTGAAAGAAGGTAAAATATAAAAACATAAAATTTGGCAATGAGTCGAGATCTGATAATAAATTAAAACATATATCCGCTCTTTAACACTGAAGTAAAAGTCCAGCTTGTAACTACAACAAAGCAGCTCTAAAACTTGTGCGTTGATTGTAAAGGTTCATTACAAACTTCTGTTTCAAATGGTTCGTATGTGGGACCTGCTATATGGTAAAGCAAGGATATTGCACTGTAGACGGGAAAGGTCCTGTTCTGATGTTTTGGCGATGATGTCGAGGACAACTAGCACCCAAGTCGGGAAACAGAGACAGTTCACCTGGACATGATGGAGTGAGCCAGTGACTTTGGTTTTACGCTGCTTTTAGCAATATCCCATCAATGTCACGGCAGGGGACACCAGAATGGGCTTCACACATTGTACCCATGTGGGGAATCAAACCCGGGTCTTTGGCGTGACGAGCAAACGCTTTAACCACTAGGCTACCCCACTCCCGGACATGATGGAAGATGATGGTTGATTGGATACACAATAACAGAGACAACAAATCAAGTTGACAATATTCATATATCTTCACAGTTCAGGTTTCTCTCGATTTCAGAAATAAGCTCAGATATCTATTTCAGAATCGGCGCCAGGTTTACGTTACATAACAAGTAGGCAAACAATCTCAACCAAGTCTACACATTAGGCTGTAATAGTGACATATAAAATATACTTGTTGAAACAAACAATAAGTGATGCACACAAGAGCAAGTTAAATGGATGGACACCAGATTATCAGCAGAGCAATGTGTTCATGCCAACACTCGTTTAAAATCATCGATATGTCTTATCACAACTTCGTACTTGACAAAGGGAGACAACTCTCATCAACATAAAAAAGCACATAGTAAAACTGTACAGGTGAAGAAGCTTTGTACAAGGACAGAAAATAATATACAATAGCAGATGTAGTCTGTACAAAAGGTTAAAAGTTGTCAAGATAAATAGCATAGTCCATCCGAGCAGGTTTCTCACTAACGGCTACTAGAGTCAGCCGGTCTTGCATACTATGTACCATGCACTCCCACAGCATTCATTCGCACTGTCACTCTAGCAGTCATACACTGGTGTTCTGCATTTGTACAAGGCATTCATTAACAAGAGAAAACCACTCAACCCAGAAACCAATGGAAATAGTAGCTGTACTGTCTCAGGTTCAATCCAAAGTTGTTGCTCTCGTTACAATTATCGAAACAATTTCTATCAACTACTGCTCTAACTAAATCGTAAACTACCATACCATGAGTATGTATGCAAACATGAAAAGAAAACTTACAAACAATTCATCAGAATTACAGAAGTAACAATATACCACCATGTCAAAGACTAAAACTCATTATTATCCACGTTGAGCAATTTTCTCTTGTTTTCAACGTAAACATATTTGACTACCATGCATAACTCAATCTTAGCATGTCCATAAGACATTACACACACATGTATGACATAACTCATCGTAACATGGACGTGTGACGTATGTCTAATATATTACGTAAATTAATCAATCGTAGCATGTAGGACTTACGCATACTATTTGTGCAGGCCTCACAATTTGTGCCACAATGATTGACTTACAAATATAATGTAGGACTTACGTACATCGTAGCATATTCGATAAGTTATGCATACATCGTAGCATGTTCGACGACTTATGTACACATCGTAGCATGTACGTAAACTGCACACGCGTCAGTGTAGTACGTAACTGAGGAACTGCTTGTAAGAACATGGCCTGCAAAAGCAAGGGGTATAGAAGACGACAAACAGTTCACCTTTTAAGTCGGTCTTCGACTGACGTTTGACAAATGACCTCCAGCTGTTCAACATCCATTATCTTATCAAGGCACAACAACTTTCAGAAATTGATTTTAACAATGAATTATGCTAACACTAATAGAATTCCGAAACTTACGTAGTTATTATGGAATTTGATTTAAATCACCTTCATACTTACGATCCTTCATGGAAGGAAAACACTTTATTCAGTTCAATTTTATTTCTTCCAGGATAATTGAAATTATGCCAATAATAGCAAAAATTTCCAAAAATGTCCTCATTAGGGATTTTTATATTATCACTATCAAATCAATGAAATTATGCCAGGTGGCTACCCTCCCAATATAATTAGACAATTTGAACTAATAAGACAATTTCCAGTTCAAATAAAACTTGATTGTCGAAACCTGAAATAAAGCTTTAACATAAATTATAAAATAAACATATTTCTACTTTCACACCATTGCATGAAAGTTCAATTAATTTAGCTCGAAATTGGATGCAGCTGGACACTTTGATATGTTTCTCAGGTCAAACTCATGACGATGACGTCACTGTCAGCAGATAATGAGGTCATCATGAGTGTTTGATGACGGACATGCTGGCCACTGAGACGGAATATTGCATGCCAAAAGGATGCTGGGATAGGTGGGAGGGGCAGTGCTGAGGATGACAGGCCATGCTTAGAATGGGGCTTGGGTGTGGGTTGCCATGCTTGCAGAATTCTTTCCGAATGGTGTCAAAATCAACCTATGTTTCGCTTCTTCCAAAACTGGATTAGATTTAACCATTAGATAAAGTCCTCTTTATCAACACCCCATGAAAGAATTATGCATGAGTTAGTTTATTAAAGGTAACGCATGCAGACAAGCAGATGTGAACAGAACAGCAATAGACAGGCAAAGAATAGAAAAAGTATTTGTGATCAAGCAGACTGCACTCTGTTTTGACAGTGTTAATTTTGGCAATGGTTACACAAGCATTTGGAAAGCATGCATAAGGTGAGTGAGGAAAGTGAATAAGGAAACGAAAGACGAGTTGAAACAAAGGGAAGTAACTGTTGTGGAAACTGAAAACCAATTTCCAGCATTCACGTCTTCTACAGCATTCAGTCAAGCTACACACCTACTGGCTTCTTCAAAAATAACTTTGTATACAATGTTGTGATCTCTCTCTCTCTCTCTCTCATGGACAGGATTCATTGGCCGGTCTGTCCTCGGTGCTAGGTATCACATGATGACACGTCACATGACTAACCACGATCATGTCTATTGGTGCACACCCACCCATGTGAAATCCAAAGCAAGGCTTTGAGAAGTCCAACAGAGGTTTATGCAGCAGGGTTAATTGCATGATGGGAAGGAAAGAGCGTCAGAGAGCGAACGAACGAACGAGGCGGGCGGGCACTGTAGAAGGGTTAGCGTTGTTAGAAGAACGAAGTGGGTTAGATGTGAGATGGCGGGCGGGCTACGGGCGGGCGGGCAACGGGCGGAGGGAAGAATGCAACGGGCAGGTGGCAGACAGGCAGCAACTTTCCGTCAGTCAATCGTGGTCGGTATGTCCTCAATCTCTAGAAGAGCTACAATAAATAACAACACCGTAGTCATGCATTAAATACACACAGGTTTACAAGAATGCGCATATGTAGTAACACAGTAGGCTGAAAATGATCAAAGAAAATAGATAGACATTGTTTCAAATCAGATCCTTTGGACGAACATTGTGTTCTGGAGCCAAACTGTTGTTCCGATCTTCCACAAGTTTGGACATAAGTTATAAAACTGCGTATAAGTAGTCTGCAGTATAACGATTCACTCTACACTCAAGTGACGAGTTCTGGTTCACTGGTGAATTGCTCAATCACTCTGCATGCAATACAATCAAGCTGATTGGCTCTGGAGTCAGTCACATGACCTGGACATGTGACCAATCACATGACATCCACAAAGAACTCACATGGGTTTCCCATGGCCATTCTAAAGGACTGCCTGCTCCCACTGAGGTCTGCTGGCATCTGTGCAAGAGGCCCAGGAGGTGGGGGGAGGCTGCGATCGCTGGGGGCACCTCGTCGCGCGCTCGCTAGGCTGGCTGTGTCAGTGTCACTGCCGCCGCCGCTCCCAGCAGGACTAGCAGATTTTCGGTCGGACTTTTCTTTCTCCTTCTTGCTGCTACCAGATGCACTGCTCCCTGAAAAAACAACCACGTCTTTGAGGAGAAGGGCTTTGGAATTAATACACTGTACTAAACTGTAGATCTCATGCAGACACACTTTACACATTCAAATGCAAAAGTTCTAATCTTACTGCATGCAGTTGACATTGTTTAGTGAAATCATAATTACATTTTTTATCATAATTATTCACATTTGTAAAATTATTTGTAATTTTGTTTATGTTCAATAACTGATTAATTAATTATAACTTTTCATTAGCATAAACAATGGACATATGCAAGACTACCATGAAGGAAACCTACTTGACACTGTTAATGTTAATTCTACATGTTAACCTAGGAACATGAACTACGTCACAAACCACAGCTTAACGTCACACTACAGTGACCTCCCTTCACCAGGACATGACAGACACCACAGTTTGAAGCACGTCACACGACAACACAATGAAGAACACTGGTCAGCCAATGTAGCTGTTCTATGCTGTGTACGAGGAACACGACACCATTCCCGATTATTTGCTGACAAAGCATGTTTTCTCTACGACCCCACCTAACTAGCCAAGATGTAATATGTGTTGACATACAGGTAATGCTTTCAGCACTGACTTGGCCCTGTGTGAAAGCGGTCATAATGCTGACAGTGCAATCAAACAGCTGACAAACCCAGGAGTGTTGAAAAGCAAAACGGTGACACAAAAATAATATGATAACCTAACAGTGAGCCAAAGCTAATGTGGAATGTGGACATCCTTTAAAAAGAAAAGAATGTTGAGGCTGTGTCCAACTTCTACAACTACTGTAAATCTTCAAATTAATGCGAGCGTGAATTAAATGCGAAAAATGAGAGTGGTCTTTGTTTGCATTTATGAAACTTTGCATTTATGTCTCCAAAATGACTATCAACAATAAGACAGCCTTACCGCACATTTTGGATAGCGGAAATACCAACTTGAATATATACACAAACAAGATTTAAGTCATTTAAAGAAAAGGAATTACACAATAGGCTTACAGTGAGTTATCAGTGCTGGGGTCAAGAGCTCTACCCACTCGTGTCAAACTAGGCATCATTGACCATTCCAATCAGTGAACTGTTGTTGGTTCAATTATTTTATTGCCTTGAACTTCCTTAGCGCCAGTCAACAGAAAAAACATATAACTGTGTTGTTTTTAACACAACAATGTTTATTGTTATTACGGAAGTTCTTTACTCGGTGCTTATAAGCAGTGCTATTTGTATTTGATAGGATTAAGGCAAGGCTATGTATCTTTCCACTTGGGATGGGGTGGGGGGAGTTGCATTTTTGCCTCGGTGTCAGCAGTCGTATTAATTTGGAGATGCACTAATTTCAAGATTTACAGTATATGGCTTGTAGTGAAAAGAAAACACCCCTTTAGGGATTCCGGTCAGTTACAGTCCTCCGTATCCCATGCTGGTCACAGGAGCTGACTAACGAGGATAGGGTGGTCAGGAATCAGGACTTGTCAGTGTGTTATCTTGCCCATGATAGTTGCTCATGTTTTCAGTCACGGGTTTGTGTGGCCCAGACTCAAGCCAGGATATTGCTGACTGGTATTAAACATTCACTGAAAGCAGCCACGAGGCAATGACACAAGCACCTGCTGCACTGCTCACAAACACCCAGATGTAAAACAAACAACCTGCTACTCCATGTTGAGAGAACCAGAGGAGATTTAATAGAGGGAAATGACAGCATCAATGTACAACAGCTCAACTAAACCTGAATGATGATGATGTAAATGAGGGTACTGATGAACAGGGAGAAACTAGCAACGTGACATGGCTGGTGGCACAGCACATAGGTCCTATCAGTCTGGAGTGGTAGCAACGTGACATGGCTGGTGGCACAGCACATAGGTCCTATCAGTCTGGAGTGGTAGCAACGTGACATGGCTGGTAGCACAGCACATAGGTCCTATCAGTCTGGAGTGGTAGCAACGTGACATGGCTGGTAGCACAGCACATAGGTTCTATCAGTCTGGAGTGGTAGCAACGTAACATGGCTGGTAGCACAGCACATAGGTTCTATCAGTCTGGAGTGGTAGCAACGTGACATGGCTGGTAGCACAGCACATAGGTCCTATCAGTCTGGAGTGGTAGTAACGTGACATGGCTGGTAGCACAGCACATAGGTCCTATCAGTCTGGAGTGGTAGCAACGTGACATGGCTGGTAGCACAGCACATAGGTCCTATCAGTCTGGAGTGGTAGCAACGTAACATGGCTGGTGGCACAGCACATAGGTCCTATCAGTCTGGAGTGGTAGCAACGAGACATGGCTGGTGGCACAGCACATAGGTTCTATCAGTCTGGAGTGGTAGCAACGTAACATGGCTGGTGGCACAGCACATAGGTCCTATCAGTCTGGAGTGGTAGCAACGTGACATGGCTGGTGGCACAGCACATAGGTTCTATCAGTCTGGAGTGGTAGCAACGTAACATGGCTGGTAGCACAGCACATAGGTCCTATCAGTCTGGAGTGGTAGCAACGTGACATGGCTGGTAGCACAGCACATAGGTCCTATCAGTCTGGAGTGGTAGCAACGTGACATGGCTGGTGGCACAGCACATAGGTTCTATCAGTCTGGAGTGGTAGCAACGTGACATGGCTGGTGGCACAGCACATAGGTCCTATCAGTCTGGAGTGGTAGCAACGTGACATGGCTGGTAGCACAGCACATAGGTCCTATCAGTCTGGAGTGGTAGCAACGTGACATGGCTGGTGGCACAGCACATAGGTTCTATCAGTCTGGAGTGGTAGCAACGTGACATGGCTGGTAGCACAGCACATAGGTCCTATCAGTCTGGAGTGGTAGCAACGTGACATGGCTGGTGGCACAGCACATAGGTCCTATCAGTCTGGAGTGGTAGCAACGTGACATGGCTGGTAGCACAGCACATAGGTTTTATCAGTCTGGAGTGGTAGCAACGTAACATGGCTGGTAGCACAGCACATAGGTCCTATCAGTCTGGAGTGGTAGCAACGTGACATGGCTGGTGGCACAGCACATAGGTTCTATCAGTCTGGAGTGGTAGCAACGTGACATGGCTGGTGGCACAGCACATAGGTCCTATCAGTCTGGAGTGGTAGCAACGTGACATGGCTGGTAGCACAGCACATAGGTCCTATCAGTCTGGAGTGGTAGCAACGTGACATGGCTGGTGGCACAGCACATAGGTTCTATCAGTCTGGAGTGGTAGCAACGTGACATGGCTGGTGGCACAGCACATAGGTCCTATCAGTCTGGAGTGGTAGCAACGTGACATGGCTGGTAGCACAGCACATAGGTCCTATCAGTCTGGAGTGGTAGCAACGTGACATGGCTGGTGGCACAGCACATAGGTTCTATCAGTCTGGAGTGGTAGCAACGTAACATGGCTGGTGGCACAGCACATAGGTCCTATCAGTCTGGAGTGGTAGCAACGTGACATGGCTGGTAGCACAGCACATAGGTCCTATCAGTCTGGAGTGGTAGCAACGTGACATGGCTGGTGGCACAGCACATAGGTCCTATCAGTCTGGAGTGGTAGCAACGTGACATGGCTGGTGGCACAGCACATAGGTCCTATCAGTCTGGAGTGGTAGCAACGTGACATGGCTGGTAGCACAGCACATAGGTCCTATCAGTCTGGAGTGGTAGCAACGTGACATGGCTGGTGGCACAGCACATAGGTCCTATCAGTCTGGAGTGGTAGCAACGTGACATGGCTGGTAGCACAGCACATAGCTCCTATCAGTCTGGAGTGGTAGCAACGTGACATGGCTGGTAGCACAGCACATAGGTCCTATCAGTCTGGAGTGGTAGCAACGTGACATGGCTGGTAGCACAGCACATAGGTTCTATCAGTCTGGAGTGGTAGCAACGTGACATGGCTGGTAGCACAGCACATAGGTCCTATCAGTCTGGAGTGGTAGCAACGTGACATGGCTGGTGGCACAGCACATAGGTCCTATCAGTCTGGAGTGGTAGCAACGTGACATGGCTGGTAGCACAGCACATAGGTTCTATCAGTCTGGAGTGGTAGCAACGTGACATGGCTGGTGGCACAGCACATAGGTTCTATCAGTCTGGAGTGGTAGCAACGTGACATGGCTGGTAGCACAGCACATAGGTCCTATCAGTCTGGAGTGGTAGCAACGTGACATGGCTGGTGGCACAGCACATAGGTTCTATCAGTCTGGAGTGGTAGCAACGTGACATGGCTGGTAGCACAGCACATAGGTCCTATCAGTCTGGAGTGGTAGCAACGTGACATGGCTGGTGGCACAGCACATAGGTTCTATCAGTCTGGAGTGGTAGCAACGTGACATGGCTGGTGGCACAGCACATAGGTTCTATCAGTCTGGAGTGGTAGCAACGTGACATGGCTGGTGGCACAGCACATAGGTTCTATCAGTCTGGAGTGTGTTTAACACAGCTGTGACCAGTATCTCCTTCGTATCATGGTGTCAACTTTGTGTTTGAGGAAAGCACTAAGGATGCCCACTGAAGAGTGAGTCAGTGAATATTGCTTAATGCTGCATCAGCAATTTTGCATCTATTCGCGGCGAGCACACTGAATATGTTCACCACTTCGGTGAAATCCTTGATTGCAAGCAGAGGATTCTAGCAGCTAAAGTGTTTCCACTGGGGGTGATGAGTTCAAGATATGATGACGATGCTTGGTGATGATATTCAGGAATGACACCAGATGTTTGGCAATGATTAAAACATGACATTCCATGCCACAGACAACATCATGATGAGACTATGAGTGAGTGAGTATTGTTTTACACCGCTTGTAGCAATATTCCAGCAATATCACGGAGGGGGACACCAGAAATGGGCTTCACACATTGTACCCATGTGGGGAATCAAACCCAGGCCTTCAGTGTGATGAGTGAACGCCACTAGGCTACCCACCTCCTATGATATTGATGGCATTAATCACGAGATGATGAGACAATACTGATGTCTGATTACCATGCCAACATGACATTCCAGGCTATG